ATAGAAAAAGAAGAAGAAGAATATAAATAATCAATAAAAATAAACAATTTTAATACAATACATACTGTTACTAAAAAGACTATAAAAAGAATGTGCTAATAGAATGACCTACTAAAATATTAATAATAATCAATAGTGCATTAAACTTACAATATATATACGTACATTATTTCTAGTGATTTAATATTAAAAAATACACTTTTTAATGCAACTATTTAAGACTTATACATAAAGTGTTATTTACAAATATTAAATTTGAAAAAATCGTTAAAATAACGATTCTCAGGAAAATGTTTACATCTTTTTATTAATTTATATAAAGCTTTATAATGTTGGTATATAATAGTTTTAGGAAAAATAAATAAAAAACTAAATTTTTTTTGTGGCTTTTTAATATAATATAAAACAATTATAAAATGAATCTAAATTATTCATTATTCATATTAAAGTAATATTATTATTAAATTGTTGGTAGTGATTTAAAACAAACAATTTATTTTTATTTATTATTTTTAATTGTATTTTTGACTGCGATACTACAGTTTCGATTATTAACAAATACCAATCATCAGTGATCTTTGGAAATATTACTTTTATTTAATTATTCTTAAATAATTTTTGAGAGTTATATCCTGAGTCCTCAAGACTGAACTTGTAACCTCTTAAATATTTACCTAAAGACATTTTTATTAACTTACTAAGCCAAAACTGTTCTTGACTTGTGATGTTCCAATTTCAAATTTTTTAAAATTCTCATTAATTTTCACCCAGAAATATTAATCCTAGTTAATTCCCTAGTTCCCAGGTTTTTTTTTGTTTTAAAAAATTATAGGAGGTAATTTTGAAATACTTAAGAAAAAAAATGTGTAAATTAAGATCATCCAATCCAGCAAATCCCACTTATAATTTTAGGATTTCGCAATGTATTAAGTCACTTATAGTGTAATTGTAAAGATTATTGAGACATTCTTAAGAACTATAAAAAAAAATATTTATACTTTTATCTCTAAAACGAATATTTCTCTTTACATTTTATTTTAATCCTGATAAATTTTAAATATATTAATAAACTTTACTTAAAGATAAATAAACTTAAGTAAATGCTGTTGTTAATTTTTTATTTTTTTTCAAAAATTAAAGATATTTATGTCATTTTGTAGTTACTATTATCACTCCTATTCATGCAGTAAATGTGGTTATTATTGATATAAAAATTATACGAAATAAAATTTATTTTCAATCAATTGAAATAAATTCATTTTATCTATTGTTATACACACATGCCAATGGGGAATATAGTAATATACTAAATTATTTTTTTCGTTTTTTGCAGTTCACTAAATTAATTGCAATATAATTAGATTTTATAGTAGACTACGTTGTTAAGGTGGGTAGGGGCATCTATTCTCTAATACTCCCTGTATACACCACAGGTTATACAGTAATATAAACTATTATAACTTTTTGAAATTTAAATTACATTAAATATTTTATTTAAAAGCAAATTTTTAAATATAAAAACAATAATAATAATTTATATATTTTTATACTTAAATACAATTTAGTATTGCATAAATTCTAGCAAATCTTGAAAGGTGTTTTGAAATTATGTTTAAAAAATGTAGTATTATTTGAATTTGTACTACAATGTAATGAGTTTTCAAAAAACGATTAACTTAAATGTGCTAATATCATTGTAAATATTTTTAAAATTAGTAACATTTTTAAAAAGTCTAAAAATAGGTATTTTAAACTTATATTTATTGCTATATTTTTGGTTTAATTATTTTTAACATGTCAACTAATGCATTCCAACAAAAGATTTCAAATTACATCACACTAATAAATATAATTTTTAATGGGTAGGTGTTGCATTATTATTTACAAGCACACTTCAAAAAAAATATATGTTTTTGTGTACTTAAAGAAATAAAATTTGAAAAATTATAAACACAAGCATGCAAGTATCTAACCACTGTTTCACAACACTTAAGTACTTCATCAGATGCACGTTGGCTGGAATTTTTGCAAGCAATTTCAATTGTGGTTGAAGTTAATAACATTGAATTTAATAAAATTGAAAGTTAAGTCATAAAAGCCCAAAAAATATTTTTTTTATTATATATTCACAATATAGTATATTATTTTTCTTTTTTGCATAAAAGCCATTGAGGAAGAAAAACTGCAATCATTTATCTATGGTTTTACTTCTATGCTTTTCGAAGTTACAATTTACATGCACACACTATACTCGAATCTATGGCAGATGCATAAATAGTCAAGTGCATACATAATATTTATGGCAAAAAAAAAACGTTACTTTCAATGTTAAAAATATTTTGCCACAGTGATTGGTATGCAACTGCATGCATTTAATGTATCTTTCAAGCCTAAAAGCAAAACTAACTTATGCAGTTCCCCCAGGCATATCATGGGTTATTATATTATGGAACATAAGTTTTTTTATTTTTGGACGTGAAGTTTAATAAAAATTGCCATTTTATAAAATTATAAATAGAATTGAATATTAAAATTTAACTGTAAATGAAAATATATTATTTCTTATTATAAAAAATATTTGCAAAGTCAAACTAAAAATAGGAAAACACTTGATAAAATATATTTAAGTTTTACTACTTTCTGATTGTTATTTCAGATAACTTATGAACCTTTCTTATATAACACTTTTTGGGTTTTTAGGTAACTTTTTTAACTACTTCATGGTATTCGATGATAATTTATATACTAAAGGACCAGTAACAACCACAACATGTTTTTTATTGTTAAAAAAGTAATATTAATTTATGACTTATTGAACCTTAACAAAAAATAACATAAATAAATCAATAAACAAAAATAGTGTTCATATCAATTTTTTAATAAAAAAATAAATTATTATTTTAAAGACATCTTTTTAGAAACAGAAACTTTTAAAGGGAAGGGAAAGGGAAGGAAATAGAAATGTTTAGTGTATACGATTATTTCCAAATTAAAAAAAAATTTGTAACGTAAAATATTTAATACATTTTTCAAAGTTGCTATGTAAAAATATAGAAACATATATAATAATAATAGTAAAATTTAATATAATAAATAAAATGAAAAGATTAAAAAATTATATACAGAGACACTACTTATTTAGGTGCAACGACCTGAGCCATTACTTAGCTGGCCACTCTGAATATGTTGTATGTATATAGAAATATACAATATATTTAAAAAGACTATGATATACCTTGGTTTTCGAGAGAAGAAAATTTTTTTCTTTTTTTAAATAGTATAACACTTTTTGCTATTATTAAAAAAATTCAATAATATATATAAATTTATAATAAATAAATTTTTTGTAATTTTTTATTTTATTGTAATAAATTATATTTAATAATAATTACTGCTTACTTGAGAGATATGAAATCGATTTTTTGTTAACACTTATTGTTAGTACTATTAGTTTACTTCTTATTATTAATTTGTTACTGATATGAATTCAGTGTCAATTAAGCACTTATCTTTTGTAGCTCTATCTGTGGATTTGGATTTGGTTGGTGTCTCTTATATTATTGAGGTTTCTATTAGAGTTGTTTAATCTGAGTTATATTAACATCAGTCGTATATTATTAGGCTTTGAAGATCTTTATGTCTTCCTGTTGTTGAATTAATGGAATGAATATAAAATGTTAGGATACTATATATGATCAAAGTTTGCAATGTATATCATAACATCATAATAGATTTGCTATACACCTCTAATAATGACATCCGTTAAAACTCATATATATGTAAAATTATTGTAGCAAATGTCATAAAAATATACGACTTGTGTTCATTAAAAAAAAAACTTTATTGTTATAAATTGTTGATTTAATATTTCTTTACATAAGATTTTATAATAATTAAAAAACCATTAACTGATTTAGCGTAAATATTTATTTATGTATTTAAATCATTCAACGATTCAAAGACGTGAGCATGCGTTTTGTTACAAAACAATTTTTCAATTTCATGCAAATTTCATTTATGCAAATATATTTTTTATGCTTTTCTATGGACATAAAAACACTTGAAAATAATGCAAGCTTACACAACTGCCATGAAAAATGTATAGGAAAAATATTTTTAATATGGATTTGAACTTCATTTGATTGAACATAAATTTATGATGTGCATCATAAAAAAAAACTATTCTTGACAGTTCAATGTAGTAAAATCGCAAAAAGTGCAGCAGAAAATTAATTCGCACATGCATTGCGTAGCGTCAAGTCCAGCTTCGCATTAAGTAGTGTAACTTTTGCTTAGAACCTTGAATGCAACAACTACGTTCATTATAGTGTTTTTCGCATTTATATACACCGCATCGAATTCAATGTCTTATATCAAAACAATACTGTTTGGAAAATATCTCAAACTACTGCGATGGCAAGCCTCATTGTATCTTTTATAGAGCAGCGCATAACTGACAGTTCAATTGCTGCCACTGCTACTCTAGCCATTGTAGCCGCTGTAGCCACTGTTGCATATATACTATATAAACAATTAGTAAATACATCGGTTGCACAGATTACATTATGAACTATATTGAAACAAAACAAAAACAAAAACAAAAACAAAAACAAAAAGTGAAACTAAACAATATAAGAAACGAAAACAAAATTCACAAAACGTTGCCACAAATGCCAAAACAAATCTGCATTACAACATCGTTTGTGCATCTGCTTTACTTTTGGTGCAACTTTTATAAAAGTAAAAAGCCTAAATAACAAAAATATAAAAAAACATGCTTATTACACAATACGAGCAAATGTGCAATATATAAAAATATATCTTTTGTATTATTGTAAATATCACAAAAAAAAGTACTTCTTAAAAGCACTTAAAACTAATAACCATCTTTATTTTCTATAATAATTTTTAGGCAAATCTTGCCGAATCAAAAAGAGACGACTAAGAGCGAAGAACTAACCAACTTGCACTGATATTCCACTACCACAGCAGTAGCAAAAATGGCCACTAAAGTATTAATGGTGAGTTAATTATTAATTGACAGTAAATATGAAATTCTGATTTCATTGACCGACAAAAATGTCCGCCTTTTTTTATTTATTGAAAATTATTAATTTTACCAAAACATTTTTATCTATATTTACAGTTATTATGTGTCACACTTTTATGTTTGAGTGTTAATGCAGGCAAACGTGAAGCACCATTAGCGGACAACTACTTACCTCCAACAGGTGGTCAAAGTTATACTTCGCCAACGAACTCATATTTGCCGCCGGCATCTGGTCCTGCTCCTTCTAGTTATGAACCAAGTCCATCATCTGGCGGTCCATATGCAAGTGCACCTCCTGCACCAAGACCATCATACAGTGCTCCACCAAGCCGCCCTTCACCAAGTTACGGACCCCCACCTAGTCGCCCTAGTAGTAGTTATGGTCCCCCACCGTCAAAGCCATCTCCACCACGGAAACCATCAAACAGTTATTTACCACCACCTAGTCGACCCTCATCTAGCTATGGTGCACCACCACAAGCACCTTCCTCAAGCTACGGTGCGCCAACAGCGCCATCGAACTCATATCTACCACCGAAGCCATCCAACAAGTATGGAGCACCATCCGCACCATCCAATTCGTATTTACCACGTGCACCAGCAAGTAAGTTTGTACCTTCATCAGCACCATCATCTAAATATGGTGCTCCGTCTGCTCCATCTTCTACCTACGGCGCACCTCCGCAAGCTCCACCATCAACCGGTTATGGAGCACCCCCATCTTTGAGCTATGGTGCACCTAAAGTATCACCACCTGCTACAAGCTATGGCGTGCCATCAGCACCAGCACTTCCATCACCAAGCTATGGAGCACCAGCTCCAGCACCATCAAGCAGTTACGGTGCACCACCATCTGCACCCTCGCAAAGTTATGGCGCTCCTGCAAAGCAACCATCATCGTCTTATGGTGCACCTGCTCCTCAACCTTCTCAAAGCTATGGAGCACCTGCTAGAGCACCTTCTTCCTCATACGGCGCACCAGCACCACAACCATCACAAAGTTATGGCGCACCAGCTAAGCAACTATCATCATCTTATGGTGCACCTGCACCACAGCCATCATCAAGTTATGGAGCACCTGCACCACAGCCATCATCAAGTTATGGAGCACCAGCACAACAGCCATCACAAAGTTACGGCGCACCACAACCGTCATCAAGTTATGGTGCACCAGCCAAACCACCATCTTCTTCTTATGGCGCTCCAGCTCCACAACCTTCACAAAGTTATGGCGCACCTGCTAAGTCACCATCATCATCTTATGGTGCACCTGCACCACAGCCATCATCAAGTTATGGTGCACCCGCACCTCAACCTTCGCAAAGTTATGGTGCACCAGCCAAACCACCATCTTCTTCTTATGGCGCTCCAGCTCCACAACCTTCACAAAGTTACGGCGCACCAGTAAAACCACCATCATCTTCCTATGGTGCTCCAGCTCCACAGCCATCGCAAAGTTACGGCGCACCACAACCGTCATCAAGTTATGGTGCACCAGCCAAACCACCATCTTCTTCATATGGTGCACCAGTCCAACAGCCATCACAAAATTACGGAGCGCCGGCTAAAGCACCTTCATCATCATATGGTGCACCAGCCCCACAGCCTTCACAAAGTTATGGTGCACCTGCAAAAGCACCTTCATCTTCATATGGAGCACCAGTCCAACAGCCATCACAAAGCTATGGTGCACCCGCTAAACAACCATCTTCATCATATGGCGCTCCAGCTTCACCACCATCACAAAGCTATGGCGCTCCCTCTAAGCCACCATCATCATCTTATGGTGCACCACAACCATCTCAAAGTTATGGTGCTCCTTCACCTCCATCTTCCAGTTACGGTGCACCGTCTTCTTCTTATAGTGCCCCTTCCGCTCCAAGTTCAACATATGGTGCTCCAACTTCAGGTTATAGTCCCTCAATAAGCTCACCCATACAAAGTTATGGTCCTCCAGCACCACCACCAGCACAACCACAACTATCACAAAGTTATAACGCACCGTCAACTTCATATAGTGCACCTCCACAGTCACTACCAAGCGGCTATTCCTCAGGTCCATCATCTTCTTATAGTGCACCAGCATCAAGTGGGGGTGGATATCCTTCTGCGCCTTCATCTAGTTATGGAGCACCAAATAAAGTGCCAGACACCATACCACAGAGCTACTCGGCCGATGGCGGCTACAAATATAAAAAATAAATTGTAGCAGCAGTGATAGACAGCAATATTTCTTTTAGGTGTTTCACTCCAATCCATAAAACATTAAATGCCTCAATTTATTCATAATTCGATTTCAATTAATTTAAATGAACACCTCATTGTCGACTCATTATAACATAAACGTATTTCTCTAAATTTCTGCCATTTACCACCGCGTTTGCATATTCATTTTTTAGTGTTAATAGGCCTAGTATTTCAGCATTATCTCATCAATTCGAAACATTACTTCCTACATGCATCAAAAAGTGCTTCATTTATGGCCACAAGTTTATCAAAAATTGATTTATTTGAATATAACATAAAATCTGTTTCTTATACTTCACGATTGTAGCTTACATTAATTTTAAGTAAACGAATTTTTTTAAAAATAAATGTTTATACAGAATTTAAAAATTAACTCTTTTTTTTCTTTTTAATTTTAAATTAAATATATTAAATAAATTATTTTACGTGCGAAAAAAAATATTTGAGAGTATGGGACGAGGTTACAGTTGAACTTAAGTATTCGAATATGAATTAATTCTAAAACATGATAAACATGACTTAAGTCATTATTGAAACTTAAGTTATGACTGTGAACCTGTCCCTATCTTAAGTATGTAAGTATGTAAAGGATTTCGATTATTCAAACAAAGGTTAAATGATCAGACATTTACATTGTCTGTTGTGTGAATAGGTTAGGTAATTAAATATGTATTTATTTATGAGATAAAAATAAGTGCTTCGAGTTAAATTTTCAATTTGAAAAACGCTCTGATTTCGAATGGAATTTTAATATTCTACAGTTAATCCAAAGAAGCTTTCACGAAGTCATATTTCCACGATTGTTCTGTCGTATTGATCTTATTTCCAACTAGGATATAACTTGATCCAACCTAATTTTTTATCACACTAATTGTAAAAATATTTTAATAGCTAAAAGGCAATTTTATTGACACAAACAATTACATGGAATTTTTCCTATTAACAACTCAATATATAAATATGTATATATCTATAAACTTGATGAATTATTTACTCACTTTTTATTATTTATTTATTCTCTATTTGATATATGAACTAATATAATCGGTATATTATTAATAGACTCAATTGATTGAATTAAGTATCTGAAAAAATGTTAACTCAACCTTTAAACTTATATTTATATTCATTATAAATCAGATTTCTATTTATTTTTATAAGTAACATAATTTTCACTGGTAATGAAGAAACTCTATAACTATTAATAATTTATTTAATTTCCTTTTATGTTATTTATATAGTTGGTGTGATATTTCATTGTTTTATGTCTAATCTGAATTTTTGGCTGACCATACAGCTGTTTCAAGTATTGCCAAATACCCATCATTAGTGGTTTTGGAAATAATTCTTGTATTTAATTAGTGGTAATTAATTTTTTGAGAGTATCGGAAATCCGTACTCATGCCCTGCAAAATTTGAAACTCAGAGTCAGCGCTCCTTAACCAATTGAATCAAATAACTACTTGACTTTTATGTTCGCACATTTTTCTGGAGTTTTGTTAATTATTTTTAAATAGACATAATCAACTCGATTTCCTTTATATAATTTGATTTCTTGCATTTATTAATTTTCTTTAAAAGGAATTTTGTTATATGCGTTATATATTATTTCCATTTACATTTAAAGTCTATAAAACATAATAACAAATTTAGAATAATTTATATTTACTACTAAATATTGTTTTTAATACATAAAATACGATTAATTATTGTTTACGTTTATGATAATATAATGAATTTCATATTTAATTGCTTGCTGAAGTTACTTAAAGGACAATTTTATAATAAAAATTTAACACTTCAATAATTACATCAAAGTGAGATACAATATATGTGAATTGCAAAATTAACTGTTACTACAAATTGAATTAAGCTTAATTGCATATATAGAAGCGAATGTAAAAAACATGAATTCTCAAAAGTCTCAATAAAATACATAAAATTCATCGAATTGACGTTTGAAGGCTTTCCATCGCAGTATATCGCCTTCATGAATTTACGTATAAAGTTTGCAATTTTCTTAATGAATTTACCTTTTTTATTATGCAAATTAAAACTGAACGGATGCGAATGATAACCAATCAACAACAAAAACGAAATACGAAATCCAATAAAAATTAAATTTAAAATTTACATATCAATAATTATATTACGATTGATATTTTTATATTGAAATTAATCTTCTTCCCCTTTAAGTTAAGCCGATAATATTGTGCATTCATTTTTGTTTTCATATCGGCAATATATAATAAGTCTATGTCATTTATGATAAATAATATATCTTTTTTTTCTTACTTGAATTAATAAACTAGCAAATATTTGGTGTTTTTGTTTGTTATTAAATACAACTATTATATTAAGAGTAATTAAATAAAGATTTATTTATTGAGATAATTAAATTAAGATTTATTAAGTTGAAAATACTTAATTTCATATAAACATTTTAAATAATATTACAGTTCAACACATTACAACGATTGGAAATTTTTTGAGTTTATTAATTTATTTTAAAATACTATTTTTATATAATACTACTTATGATATATGTGAAATACGAAATTTCTCATTTCGACTAAATAATTAACCGGTTGTTGTGTCAAGTTTCTTAAAAACTTGATCGAATTTCATTATTGCGTCCATACACAGGAGGGTCACTATTTATTTAATTTTGAGCTTAAAAATGAAAAAATACTAAATTGTCGTTTAAAATTGCTGTAATGTTTCGTAAAGTATTCTCCTTTATGATTAATAAACTTTCGAACCATTTGTCAAAGCATTTCTACCAATCTTCTTCAGATACCTCTAAAACATTTGTTGTTTTTAAGTGCAACAACGGCTTCTTCCGCCGACTAAAATCGACAATTAGATTTTTTAAATGTGCAAATAGTCGGTTGTTAGACGAGATGTGTGGGCACTCGCATTATCTTGATGGAGTATGATCCGACAACGCTTGTTTGGTTTTCCTTATTTCACTGAAAACTTCCGGTAAACAAAGAGTTGTATAACATTTGGAATTGAGCGTTTTACGTTTCTGTATTGGCACAGATATAGTTGCCACATGTCCAGTTTTCCCAAAAAAAGAAACGACCATTTGTTTCGAAGTGCTTCGAGCGTAAACAACTTTTATTGGATTTGATTTATCTTGAAACACCCATACTCGTAGAGTCAACTGCTGTTTATGTTCCGGCTCAAATTCATATATCCATGATTCATCACCTGTTACAATCTTATATTCTTCTTTTGAAGCACCGCCATTGTACTTCTTGAGCATTTATATACACCAATCGACACTAGCATCTTTTTGAGATGCTAGATGAGAAATCCAAAAACACAAAATGCAAAAATATTATTAATGATGAAGAATAAGTCATTAGTTGAAGCATTTTAACTCTTAGTATTAGTGGTATGGAAAAGAATGCAATGAGGAGCAAAAAAATATACTGTAGGAAAAAAAAGTAATTTGGGAGATAATGATGCCGTGAAAAATGTCGATAAAATATTTCGCAATGGAAATAAAGGGATTATGGAATTCTAAATCACAAAATACCAAATTTATAGCATTATTCATTAGCATTTGAAAAGCAAATATGGCTTTTAATTGCAGAAAGTTCACATTGACCCGTAATGCCCAATACTTCTTAAGGCACGTGGAAAACCAACATATAAAAGTATATTGGTATATTGCTACATAGTATTTTATATTGATAATAAAATAAAATAAATTGCAACTTTAAACCAGAGATGCTTTTTTCTTATTATAATGCAAACTATGCTCTGACAAAAGTTATTTTTTTGCTATCTTTCAAGATAGTTTAAACAAAAAAAAATTTTTTTTCTTTACTTTTAATTTTTTTTTTAATTAAAATCCAAAGTATATTTATTTCACTTATATTATATAATGTGTAGTGAGATTGAAGTGCTTGTATTAAATAAAATACGTAAATCTTCATTTCTTACTTTTTAGTTAGGAGTTTCAGAGATAATAGCGTCTTTGAGAACTTTTTAATAACTGATCTGACATCATTATGCAAACTTTAATATCGTTATCAAGTTTGCAAGTGTATTTGTATTTTATTAACTCAATCACTGAACTAGTGACTTATAGCTGTAAATAAGATACCTTAACTAAATATTATTTGTTGCAATCTGAACTTTATGGTGGGAAAGACAGACTTACAAAATGTATTGTTGTAAATAAGTTGACATCTTTCATTTGCGTTCATTGTTTGAAGTGTAATTTTTTGTTGGTTTTAGGTTTACTGGTAATACTAAATAATTACACAATTAAGCCACTAAAATAAAAATAAAAATCACATTGCTTCACATCTAACATAATTACTGCACCTAACTTTATTCGGGGATCTATAAAAATGCATTTATTAAATTAGATACTTTTAAAGCAGTTATTTTAATGGAGTCATTTAAATCACTTTAGTTGGACACCCATAAATTTTATATCAAAAACGATCGAGCCATTAAATATACTAAACTACAGTTAGAAAATATGTAGGTTATAATGACAACATTCAGTACGACCCTTTCTGAAAAATATTGCACCACAGTCGTTATCATATTTTGTTTGACATTATAGTATAAGTTTCAAAGCAACTTATTTAACTGTTGTTCAAAAAGGATTATATTTTGATATATTTATTATAGATAAGTTATTATATGCGTCAATAAGATTGACAACTACTCATAAACAACTAAATAACTATAATTGCATCAACACTGACTTACTTTCTATTCTTGAAAATAGGAATAATACCTGAATTAAACTAAGAAGAAAAAAAACTCGATGTAACATATTAAGTAATTATTTTTTTAGGATTATTGTGAATTGTGAAAACATTCAAGTTATCAAATACTAACATTTTTTATGAAAAGATTTGCTTCAATATTTCTACATTAGTATTGTACAAATATTAATTTGTCAAAATTAACTAAAAGGGATTTTCATACCTATTATCTACTATTTTTTAGCTAAATTCTGAAATCAAGTAAAAATCATCTATAAGATATTAAAGCTTGAATGACAAAAGTTGTTTCAAGAAAGTTTTTTTCACGTGTTATGTCAAAGGCGGATCTCTCTAAAGACCCACCTCTAATTCCACTTTTTTTTTCGGTTATAAAAAAATCACCATCTGAATTTATAGTCATTCATAGAAAACGAATAAATAAACTATTTCTTTTAAGCATTTTATACTTAATACTAAAAATAAAATTCCATTTATAGTTTTCAATCAACAGAGAAACCTTTTTTATATATTTATTTTTAATTTATTATATAGTTGTTTTGTTCTTCTAAAGTTTAACATTGATATGTATTTAGTTGCAGTTTAATTAAAAATAAAATATAATACAAATACAAATACAATGAAATAGAATATTTTCAAAAAAAAAATACAGAAACATAAGACCTAATACAATAAAATATATACTTAAATAATAAGTGATTTAATATATATTAAACTATTGGTGGTTTTATATTATATTAATATATTTAAACTAAATACTTATGAGATTTTTCTCATTATTAATATTTAATACAAATGATTTTTCTAATAAAAACTGCCATTGCACATACATGCATTAATATATTTTTTTATATTTACAAACAACGATTATAACAGAATAACAAGATATATTTCATATATAATTAATATATAATTCAATTCAATTTTTGCTTAATCAACAAGTTGTATATAAACAATTTTAAGTACGAGGGTTGTAATAGGAAAAATGTTATCATCATCTAAGACAAATTTTTTAAAATATTATAAGAATTAAAAATAAAAACATTTAGATTTTAAAATTGAACAAATAACAAGTAATATTCTTTAATAAAATTATTATTAATTTTTTTTTTTAATTATAATAATATATTTATATATTATGTTTCTGATAAAATCTTTTCTATATAATTTTTATCTTGTAATTCTTTATTAAAATTTTCAATAAGCAGTCAACGGTAATTATTTTAATGCTGTTATTAGTTTTTATGATATAAATTAAAAAATAAAATGTGAAATTGAAATTAATTTAATTTGTTAAATTATATTAAAGTAAATGTAAATTACAAGTTTTCAGTTTAATATGTTTGTAAATAATTTAACACAAAAAATAATTAAAATTTTTATATTCAAACATAGATATTAATATATTATTTCTTTAGATTTATATATATATATATATATTTCTTTGTATTGTATTTAGTTTTGTTTCAGGCTTAGGTAGCAAGGGATTACTTACTCCCTTTTTTAATAATTTAGCTCTAGTCCCACATATTGCAAATACAGTTTTGAACTACGGTTTTTACATGTGCAGATACAGGTTATTAGGTACAAGTCTCCTGACTATTAGAATTGTGTTTATACTTTAGTTCTTTTTTTTATACACATATAAATTCTTATATGTTACTGTTTATGTTTAAATATATATAATTGGAGATTAATTACACATTTATAGGCGCAGAGTTTATCAACTAACTTTTATTGGACTCTTTAAGAGTTGCTACATATATATTTCTGCGAATATTTTCATTTAGATACATATATATATATATATAAGTATTCTCTATATTATTATTATAATACATTTACTTATAACTATTTTTTCAACAAACCAAAACATTGTATAATTACTATATATAATATGTATTTCTTTTTATCCCTTTAGAGATTTAAATATTTTTGTATATCATAAAATTGCCTAACATTAAAATGATATGTATTCGTTTTCCTTGTAAATTGCCAAGTCGTATTCAGTTTTTTCTTGTTATTTTTGATATGTATTGATACTTTATCAGATAATTATTTACTTTTATTTTTAATACAATTAAATATGTTTTACGTTTTTGTTTTTAAATAATTTAAATTTTCTTCTCTCAAAATGCTGCAAAATATTTGTAGCTTTATTGGAAGGACACATGATACATTATAAAATCTTTTTAAACATGAAGTACTTATATTGATATAATATATGCATATTGTTTTAATTACATATAAAACTATAATATGATTTATATGAAAACTTCAAAACATTTATATATTGTAATAATACTCATTTATTTTATTTTGTAAATAGTAAAATATATAATTGATTGAAATCCTTTTTTTATAAAACAATTAAACTAATTTTAAAAATCAAAATAAACTAAATTTTCTGTAACCAATAAATAATATATATTGTAATTATATAAAATATGTGATAAATTAAAATTATAAAATTAATTTTTTTTGTTTGAATTTTAAAACATATATATTATATATTTCTGTAAGCGGGAAAAAAAAAATCTTTTAATATTGTATTTTTTTAAAAAATCATCAAAAGATAATTATGTATAAAAAAATATTAATTTGTATACTAATGTTTGAGTAATTACTTTTAATAATATTTTTCTAAAATACTAGCCGCTCTTAAGGTAATTGTTTTTCATATACCATATACCACACAATATGCATTCATATCACCAACCTTCAAAACGAACTATAAAAGTAGATCTTACTATTTGCAGTTTATAATAACATGAACTTCGTAATTACCCCAAGCATGCCTAATTATGCTAAAAAAGAATTGCATATATTAACATTTTATTACTAAAAATTGTATGTTTTTCATATTTATTTTTGTATTTTTGTAATTATTTTAAAATTTTTGGTGAGCTCTTCAAATGCAATTAGATATGATTTGGTTTCTTCTACATATGGTACGAGTAAATACATTTATAGCTTTTATACTCTTAATTTCAGTTGTACGTGTATGTATATATATACATATAAATATATAATATATTCATTTTAGTTATAATATTAAGATATATATGTTTTTATACATTTTTAAAATATTTTTACATGAACAGTGATATGTCTCTTGATACGTATTTTTATATAATATTACTAACCATTTATATAATTTCATTTTAAATTTAAAATAAACATAACAACTTTGAGCTTATTTTAGCTTTAAAATACTTAAAGTAAATAGTTTTAACACACATATATATGTATATAAATATTATATTTTGGAAGGTTATATTTTGCAACAAAAGTTTAAATATTTAAAAAAAAAATATTTATTTCAGTACCTGAGCATTTAATTATATACAAAAATAATTTATATTCTAATAGCATAATTAGCTAAAATTAATATTAAAATAAATTCTAGATTTGAATATCATAATTCAAATCATATTAATATAATCTGATCAAAAAGCTTTATAAATTTACTTAACTTTCAATTGCTTTAAACGATTTTGTTTGGTATTGCGAAATAAAAATTTAAATATGCAACATTATTAAATCTACTCAAAAATAGTTTTGAATAATTAAATTCTTTAATTCTATAAATTTAATTTAATTTATATAATAAAATTCGTTTTGGTTTATCAAGCGAATTTCAAATTCATTTTACTTAATACAGTTGAAAATCAGTATTAATTCTCAAAAAATTTGCTCTCTTCTTAGTTGCTTGCTATATCTTAAAAGGCAGTATTGTCATGCTCAGCAGTTGGCACAGCCATTCCTTGTCCACCTTGTAGATTACCTCCACCACTACCTTGACCCGTTGCATTGCTCAACATTTTTTGTACTTGTTGTTGTGCTGTCTGTTGATTTAACCGTTTTGCTTCAGCTACAGGCAGATCGTCATCTGACTCTAAAGCGGGATTAATTCTTCCATTTCTCTCATCTTTACCAGCCATAGTAGCTGCACCATATGAACGACCTAATGGACCAGCCATTACAGACAGCTTTAAATATAACAATAGGTATTATTAATAATTTTATTTTATTTTAATCAATTTATATAGAGTACAAGAAAAAAAAAATTTAATTCACATTAAGATTTTAATTAAATAATAGAAATTTATACATTATAGCAGTGGCGTAACTACATTTTTTAGGCGCATAAGCGAATTATAATTTAGGAGCTCCTACTAATATCTTTTTATACCCTTTACACGAAAAAGTGTAAAAAAGGTATATTAGGCTTCGGAAGATTTTCGTATCGTCTGTTTGAAGTCTGTTTCAGTATCTGAACAATGTGTCAATTTATTCTGTGTATCGTTTACTCCTTCAGTTTTGTTTTCATTTATTTTAAGAAAATTGTCTAGTTTTGGTCATTTCTTTAATGTTAATAATGAATGCATAAATTTATAATGGGGCCCCCTAAGTTCGGGGGCCCGAAAGCTTTGCTTCCAGTCGCTTCCCTGTAGTTACACCATTGCATTATAGTTAAACAATAAATTGAACAATTTTGTCAACCTCAAATAGATTATAAGGATTAAATATCGACAGCGAGGTAACAATTTCAATTTCAATGATACAAGTGAAGTTTTACTTTTAAAAGTGAAGTCCTTTTTATTTAGACCCAACTAGAAAGTAAAAAGTAGTAGTAAAAATACGGAATTGATAATACTGACAGGGTTCTCTGTATAGCATGCCTTTTGGTCATGACCAAAAGGAGAATTAAGGTATAACTTAAGTGCTGTAATAAAGCAGCAAATAAATATAAACTTTATTAAAAATAAATAATTTGCATATGTGCATCGAAACGTTACATATAAAGTAATATCTAATATAAATAAATAGAACTTTGGAAACCTATTAAAGAACCTCAACCATTAATCAGGTAAGCCCTACAATATCTCCTATGTAACATATACAAGTAGCATTTAGAGAAGGTAAGCAGAACAGTTCAGTTTTATCTTTTTCTTACGATTAACTATTCTGTTATTTGCTTTACAATAAGAGAAACTTAACACTTTATCCAAGTTAACAATTTTTATTCCATTACCTGTATTTTGTTCGTACAATCTTTTATAATAATAACTAAGGTTATTATGTGTTCATTACGAACAATTTTTCGACAAGACATGCTAATCATCTTGCGTCTTAAATTTAACAGAGTCTACATTATATTTCTTCATTTCCAGTCACCATTTTAATTCGGATTTACATTTCAAAAAAAAAACATTAATTATATGTTCATTCACCTGTTCTCCAGCTTCCGATGGTTCACCAACTCTTTGTATATCTTCAGGAATATTTACCACACAACGGAAAATATCATAACCTGGTTGCAATTTACCAGATTCAAACATCATCCTTTAACAAAGAAAAAAACGCTTATTGACGATACTATTTAAATCAAAATTAAATTAAAGATTAAACATACTTGGTCCACCATGAAACTCCAATTAAAGTAATTAAACTCATTAGCATCGCCATAGTGCGGAACGGAAATAATTGTGTTTGACTTTCTTCATCGTAACCTGGAAAATGTATGAGAGCGGGTAAGCCAAGCATAGCCTCTCCTCCTGATAAACGTATAAACAATGCCACAATATACGCCGCAAGGCTGCCATATGTATTACAATGCTTCTTAAAATGCACAACCATAAGTAGTTGCGGAAACAGAATAACGTAAACCAAATCGGAGCACATGGACCTAAATTATGTGAAATGAATAACATAATGAATAATACGTACAAGTATATTAATTATTAAACTCATTATAATTTACCATAAACCATAAATTGAAGGAATAGTCAACGCCATTATGGTGGACAGTATGCCAACAATAATAATAGAAACACGCATCACCCAAATGATTTCCATTTCGGACGCTTTCTGACGGAAAATCAATTTGTATACATTGCGTGCAAACATACTTGCGGCGGAGAGTACGGACGAGTCTGCAGAGGACATGACAGCGGCAGAAACTGCACCCAAACCAAAGAATGATACGAAATCAGGGGTGAGGTACTGTAAAACCATTGGCAAAATCATGCTAGTCTCGTCAACCGTTAATGGATAAGGACCTTTGTAGTCTGTTTCATTCCAAGCTAAAATTAAAAAGCAATAATAACAGTAAAAACAAACAAGAAACAATACTAAAAATGTAGCCAAGTTATATAACAGTGGTTTGTATAAAGAACATTAATATTAAAGACTATTAAGAACTGAAATAAATAGCAAACTCACGTGTAGCTTTTGCAATAGCACCAATAAGCACCGGTGGGATAGCCATCAAAATACAACCAGCTGCTGCTACATAGGATAAAATTTGTGCACGTCCAGCAGTCTTACTTGATAAAACGCGTTGAAAATATACCTAAAATAGGTTTCAGTGAAAACATAGAATGAATAAAACAAGAATGACATCACTACATACTTTATATGTACTCGTATTTAATAAAGCAGTAAATATGAAAATGTTGTAACATTACCTGCCATGGTATACCGCCAAACACTAATAATAAACCGTAATCTATATAAAACCAACGTTGCTTCGGTTCCACATGACCAATCCAATCAACATCCATTGCCGACAAACTCTTCACATGCTCATTAGCCCAAGCAAAAGGAATACACATCCATAACCCAATGAATATACAAAATAATTGTATAACATCGGTATATGCAACCGAATATAGACCACCAAAAAGCGTATAGAATATGGCAATACAAGATGACAATATCACTGATGTTCGATGATCCATATCAATGATGACAGATAATGTAGCACCTTGTATATGTCAAAAAAAGTATTAGTATTATGATTGTGTGATTCAATATCTCATCACATCTTACCCAAGGCAGCTAATATACCAGCAGCCCAAAATACTTCTCCACAAAGTGCTGGTAAAAAGAGTAGACCACCCATACGCTCACCAAATGAATCTTGCAATGGATCTAACATTGTTATGTAGCCTTGTTTACGCATTGGATTTGCAAAAAATATGCCACCTATTGGATTTAAATATAATAACTATAATAATTTTTTGAACTAATAAAAGAAAATAATAATAGGTTCTCTCCTAATAGCTTAAGAACAAAATGAACAGCTTTTGACAGCAAGATTAAAGCAAATGGAATGACTAGTATCATTGACTATAAATGACTAGTGCATTTCCTTTTTCTCATTTAAATTATTTTAACCCTTTATGTATAACATGGAAACAATATATTATATTAATAAAGATATTTACAATGTTATATACTAACTATATTTGATTTTCTTTATATTTTAATCTTTTATTTAATTATCATATATCCTATATTTTTATTAGTCATATTATATTAATGGATAGCTAAAGAGATCAAAAGATAAGTAAACATGCTTTATCTTAAGTGTTCTATTAAAATTTTAAACTAATCACAGTACACCCAAATAGAAATGTTTATATACACTTCCACAAATTGTAATAGATATATATATATATATAATATATATATAATATATACACATATATATATAATATAATATATATATATAAATAAATAATTTTTATATTTATTTTACAGAACCGTGGATTTAAAATAAAATAAATTAATATAAAGTATTGTTATATATGTATATGGTCTTAGTGTATTGAGTACTTAAGTAGTAGAAATTATGTTTAAAATATGTTTCCATAATGAGAGGGGGTGTTAGGTTCTTTAAATTATCATTTAATAAGTTCAATATGATTAATAGTATGATTAATACACAAAAAAACTGTGTTTCAGCAAACGATGTTCTGATCAACTTAAACGGTAAATAGTATAGTGAACTAACATTTGAACTGGATCATGTTTTGGCTACATATGGAATATATGTGATAATACTACGTTTTGATATTATATGATGCATTCAATCTAAAAACTAAACAGCAATAAAAAGAAAGCCTTGAAAAAATAGTTAAAACAATAAAGAGCTGGTAAATATGATGTATAGCTCTTTATGTGGTTTATGGATCAGTAAAGTAGATCCAGACTATGCTTGCTGAAACGCAACTAAAGTAACAATTATTTTGAAACTTTTGTAACTAAAATTTTATATGTATTATTCGAATAGAATATAATGTTAAACTTACTAAAAAACTTACTAATATTTACTTACAGATCAATAAATAGAAATCCGTTTCTTAGTTATTTTTTGATTTTTGAATTTGTTCTGGGATCTTAAGTGCTTTATAAAAACAAATTTTTGAGCATTGATAAGGTCTTTTTCACTTCCTTTTTTCCATTTTTTTTTTTTTGTTTAAGGAACTTTTGTATAATATTATTAAGTCTTTGAAATATTGCTTCGCTACCTTATTGCTCCTTTTTCTTAATTTATTTGCTCGATCTCTTTTACATTTTGATATGCATTTTTAAATTAAAAGCAATTTTTCCACTCACCGAAAACCAAACTTAATGCATAACCAAATGGAGCCTGACACCAAACCAAGCCGGACGTGTAAATAGCTTCAGCTGTACCATTTATATAGCCGCCTCCAACCCAGGTTGCTGTAATCATCAATTAAGTCATAAAATAAAATTAAATAAACATTATTAAATTTCCATTAAGTTCTATTTGACGACACTCAATAAACTCACCGGTCATTGTAAATATGCCAACGAATAGACCAATCGAACGTCCTGCTAACATTACCTCCTCTTCAGAATCATTGCCTGCCTGCTTTTTGCGTCCAGCCCAAATGCCAACAAACAATATCAGCAAATAGAAGAGGACAATGCTCACAACACCGGCAATATTAATCATTTTGTTGTTTTATTTTGCTTTCCGTACAATTTAGTTAGAACTTTCCTATTTTCCTAAAGGACGTGGACTCTTGGTTGATAAGTTAATGTTTCGTTTGATTTTAATGACTTTTTTAATGTGTAGTTGGTTTCAATTAGTTTCGTGACGTCAACAATTTATTTTTCTTTTCACAATAAAAACTTTCTTTAATATTATTTTTGTTGTCGTGGTTTTTTAATTTGTTTTTTAGTTTATTTATATTTTACGTAATGTAGTTTTTAGTTTAAATCTGTAAGTTTAGGAATTTTTATATAAGTATATATTTTTATATATCAAAAGTATAAGTATTCTTTAACTTTAATTATAAAAATGAGTTTTGTTGAAAATACAATAGAAGAGAAATTCAGAAAAAATCATGTTAAGTCCTTTGTTCCATTGAAAGGACACCGAAAAACTTTTAGAATTCTTTGTACATAGTTTTGTTAATGCCTTTAACTGAAATGTGATAAATGGATTAATGTAAGAAGGGATTTTTAAGGATAAATATACTTGTATATAGACCCTTGAACTTTATTCATACGAAACCAAACTTTTTTGGGCTTAAAAGAAAGCGTTAAGATACCATTGTTTGCAAATTTTATAATATACCATATGTATAAAGGCATCAAAATTTTTATATAATATATTCGAATAATCAAGTAACCAAAAAGTCTTAACAATTTTTATATATTAGAATCAAATTTTCCCCGGCTGTAAAAAGTCTAATATCTAAATTATCTGAAACGTACGAATTTCGAGTGTACGAATAAAAGCAATGAATAGAAGAGGAATTTTCAAATAGAGGTGCCGACAACAGACCCAAGCCTTTCTGTGCGATACAGACTTGCTAGAGTATATCAATATATACTTGTATAAACCTATGAAAAAAAAAAACTATTTTTAACATCATGGGCAGATATCTAAAACTTAAACTAATTCACATTAGTAATGAACCAAACAGATCATTCGCTTCTAAAAAAAAATTGTGGACCATTTTATTAATCTCAATTCCTTTTTATTTACAAGTTTCTTATGTGTACTACCTTTCCACCTTTTACAGGATTGGATAAAAGACTGGCTTTCAGCGAATCTATCGTTATTTGAAAGTTTATATCAAAGCCATTGTTAACAGATTTCAATCTAAGTTTTGATTGCATTTTTATCACCAGTATTATAGATTTTACCATGGTTTCTTCTAATTGTAAAAATACTGTCAAGTATCCAGACCTTCCATTTACTGTGACCAATTTACTTTGAGATTATTTCGATTTAACTTTTTATTTATTTAGAACATATGTTATAGGACTGAAACACTGGAAAGTGTCAAGCAAAAACATAATTATTTTTTAAGCAGAAATTTACACGATGGATAGTTATATTCATTTCAAATTTGCTCGTAACTATTAGCACCGATATTTTTCAAACTTCATTGATATTCATAAAATAATAAAGGCATTTAATTCACATTAGAGGACAATAAGACTGATGACAAAATGTCTAGACCAAAATAGCCAGACATGAATTCTATGATTATCGAATGATATTGGACTTTCCAGCAAAGAAATCGCATGCACACTTGACAATAAAGAAACAGCCTTTGTATTCTATGATTCTATGATTTACGAATGATATTGGACTTTCCAGTAAAGAAATCGCATGCATACTTGCCAATAATGAAACAGACTTTGTTGCTTTAGTCCCAGTACTGTTTTATGGCTTAAGAAGAGATGATTTTTTTCAAATAATTTAGAAAGAAGAGCAGATACGTAGAAGTTACATAGTATTCCTTATAAGAACTTCAACTTAAAACGATAAAATAATTGTAACTAATAACTAAATAACTTCAGAATCATTATAGAAATTCTGACAGGGCATTATATGATAGGTTAAATTACCATAAATAACTTTAAGTTTCTGAATGAAGAGAATTAGACCGGGAAGCATGTTTTAATGTGCATTGCCCAGCACTGATGCATAAACGATGGAAATATCGCATTAGAGAAATAGTTATAAGATTAAGTATTCGTATTCATTCGTGAAAAAGTCATAAGATTAGGTAAGGTATATTTTTTCTATTTGAATTAATCTTGGAAATTGGAGTGAGAGCAATATTCTGAATTTATGAAGACGCCACAACAAAAGAAAGATTAGAATTATACCATTTATTTTAGTCTTACGGATCCTGTTAAAACTTATTTATGTAATTAAGTGCGAAAATTTGGAATTATTAATTTAAAAAATTAATTAATTTTTTTTTTGTATTAAAGATGTACGATAAATTTGAATTGAAAGAGGTTTGAATAGCTTGCGAAATTGAAATGCTTTTAAGTTTATTTCAATCTGACCTTTATGCTACAAATAACCTTTACATGCAAATGTCACAGACTTTTTCAATGCATTAACAAGGTTAGTTAATTACGAAGGTCCGAGAGACCGAAGGATTCAGTTAAAAATGCATTCATGTTTTGTATCAAAATTTTAAAGCACAGATTTTGTTTATAACGCAAAAAAGTTTCAATACAAACAAACTAGATACACCCAATAGATTGCCTTGACCGCCCCCACCAACAAACTCGAGCACTCATATTTCGTGTTCATTATTTCAACTTGAAATTAATGGAGCATTTAGTGTTATTTATGTTGGCATTCAAGTGAAACAGTGTGGCAGCTCTCGCTGCATATTTAATTAGCAGTCGCTACCGCGATGCTGGCATGGCCAAGGATATTTGTGTAGCTTAAACGATGCTTAAAACTATGATTTATATGGTTTTAATAGAACATAAAAGATAAATAAGTCTACTAGAGAACAGAATGAGAGTTCAAATATTTGACGCTGCTTTTTTAATTAATTATGTGGTATAATTAATTGTTTTTTTCATTTTTCAAGGCAAGTTGCTGAGAAAAAGTGACGTAATGAATGTGTTTTGCTTATATTTATATACTAAATAAAATAGATAATTACTGTGTGAGTATTAATATAAATAATGATATCTCTGTAATTGATGAACTGTCATTAGAGCACTTAATTAGTAATAATATAACAGTGATATATTAAAATTTTAGACCTCTGAAGGTTAGAATCTTGCTCAAAACCTAAACTTAAAGTTCTAGAGTTTACACTCCTTGTACGCACTATATATCATAAGCTAGCAGTTGATAGGTAATAGCATTCAGGTGCCATGTACAAATTAACCGACAACTCGGATTGTGGACGACAATGACTACTTTTTTTTGGATGAAAAAAAGTGATACAGATTATGATATTAATTAAAATTCATAAAATTCATATTTAGTGTTTTATATGAATTATCATTTACACATATATACACATGTAAAAAAAAATTATTACTTTGATATTTACAAAGTGAAATATATTGAAACTTTCCTTGTATTCTCGCTTCCCCAGACTAACTGAATGGAAGAATGCTGATTTTTCATACATTTTGCTTACTTTTTATTTAAAAGTAATATAGGATTATTAATTGTATATCGCAATTAAAAAAATGTATTTTAAAAAATGTATTTTTTTAACTTCTTAAAATAATAGGAAGAAAGATAAGGCTAATGTTTGTGCGGCCTGCGACCTGTTTTTAATCTACTACAATTACGCGAATTTTCTTTTGGTGCACTAGTAGAATCCTATTACTTTATTTGTATTGTATACCAAGTAAGTAAATTTAAATTGATAAATTAATAAGACTAAATTTAACATTATAACAGTATTTTTATTTTTGTCAAAAACAACTATGAACGTATGTATTTGTTTCTTTGGCTCTCCAATCTGTACAGTGATTTCTATTGGACATCAATCGCATCTAGTCTAGACAACCCTAGCCTATATCATGCTTTAGACATGAGTGTATGTTTATCTTCAATCATAAACATTGAAATATTTCTAAAGCTTTGTTAAAACGGTTTGTATGTGTGGAGAACTTTATGCGTATATTTATAATCATTCTAGGTTCACTAAAATAGTCAAGAGACCAAATATCAACCAAAATTATAAATTGAAAAAGGTTAAAGAGCTCTAAAAAAGATAGATACTGTGTTATTGGTCTGTATCGGGATTGGTATATAGGTACTGTTGTTTTTTTTTTTTTATAAGGACGTATTGTTTAGTAACCGTTGGAGTGTACTATAGAATATCACATCATTACTGATTTACAGATCAATACTTTTCATTCCAGTGTGCAGTAGATACAGATTTTGTAATTTAGATTGAGATTTAAATCTAAATCAATTAGATTTAAAGATTTAAACTGAGGTTCGAGAAAATTGCGCTTATTTATTATTTTTGGTTAAACGTTTTCAAAGTTATTTATTTAATTATTAAACATCTTATAAAATTTTCACAATGGTAACACCTAATTTACCTAATTTTTATCTAATTTATCCTACTCGAAATTCTGGTAAATACAAACATGCGCTGCCATACCGACATAATTTACTTTTTCCCTCAATTTACCATCAATTTACTTGAACTCGCACACGTCCTTAAGATAAATAAAACTTAATATATTCATAAAGCAAAGCAAACATTATTATTGAGCAATCAAGGTATTGTATCATAACGAACGTAGAAAGAAAACATTAAGAAATCTAAATATCAGCCACTTAGTCAACTTTTACGTACTTCTAAAAACACTTAAGAAACTCCTGTAAAAAGACATGCACATGTTATTGTAAGCGCCGTGTGTCCCACAATTTATATTCAAAGTACATAACCTTAATGCATATACGAGTACCTATTCTACACATTATTTTTTTCACACAAACTGTGGGTTAAAAGAGCAACGCATTTAAACAACCCATATAGCTGCATACATACGAATACATCGAAACCTGGTAAATACATTAAAAATATTAAATAAATTCTAAAAAAAAGAAAAATTGATAAGATGTAATAGAAAAGATCACAGCTGAGGCTTTCATTCACAAAAAAACCGTTATCATTTTAAAGACATTGAAAATAAAATCGCAAA